ACTGAAGGATTGTTTCTTTCCTTGCATTATATTTGGAAAATATACTAAAATTTAAATAGTAAATAAAACACCAAATATGTCTGAGGCTGAAGATTAAAATAAAATCAGCTATGGCTATAAGGTAGGTTTTCCTAACCTAGCTCCTTCCAGATATTCTAGGCTTCATCACTGGTGACCATTAGTCATGCTGGGTGAGGCTGATAGGAGTGATAGTAAAATATATCTGAAGGGGACAAGCTTGCAGGGAAGTTACTATTGCATGAGCTGTCAACAAGCACTTGCATTTACTGCTTCTCAACAGATCTGATTTTAAAGGTGATCCAAAGGAAAGGAATAGACACGCTCAAATGTCTCAGCTCTATAACTATTCCTAAATCTACAGAAACAGAAACTTTTTTCATGGCAAACTAATACTGCATCCTATATCATTAACGATCTCTTGACAACAATGGAAAAATTGCCACCCTGGGCTCCTTTGAGAGAGAGGGCAGGAATAATAATAATAATAATAATAAGCCACTACAATGCTACAGGGTACTTCTAACAAGGAAAAGTGGGGTGTTTGAAAAGCATATATTGTAGGAAAGATTTTACTATTGTTTTTAAGAATTAATAACAGAAGTGCTTCAGTGTTCCTGCATACGCATTCTCTTGCTTGTATTCATTAAAATAAATCTAGATTAATAGAGCTATTTGCACAAAAAGGATTTAGATAGCAGGGAATCCATTTATTTAAGAAGCTTTGATGTTGTAGGTTGAGAATAATAAAAAACCACATTAGTGTTAGCAGTGGGAGAACTTACATACAGGTATTTTGTTTCCTCAAGTACTTTCACAGGAAATGCCTCTAAGTGGATTAGCTGGCAGGAAAGAGGTAGTGTGTAGTTATAAGCGCTTAGTTCTTAAATTTATAAAATAAAAATAAAATAGGATTGGTGTTCCCCTTCTGCCTTGAAGGGTCTGAAAAGCATACACTCAATTATGATTTGGAATAATAATAATATCTCTGTTTTTCTAGCCCAAGTACCAACTGCACCAACTGCTCAGTCATTTTTGTTGCTTTTAAAACAGCGAAGTGGTCCCAAAATAGTTTTGTCACTTTGGGAAAAACACACACAAAGGAAACATTGTTAACAGAAATGCCAGTGTGCACTGCATGGTTGTTGTAAAATATGGATGGTTTCCTATTATTTACTCTGACTTCACTCAAAAGGAGCACTATGCTCAACCTGGTGATAACAGAAAAAACAATATAAGGAGGGAGCTGCAGCCCAAGACAAGAGGTGCTAAGGGAATGCCTCTCTACTTTAAATGAATTGTCGGCTGTGCCTCATTTCCAAAAGGAAACATTTAACCCTGAATAAGCGCCTGGAACCCATTGGTATCTTGCACCACTTGAGACACTGGGCTGTCTTTATGATATATGGTTTGTTTACACATATATACAACCTGAGTCTACAATGGAGGGGTTTGCAGACTTGACACCAAAAGGAGGTGCTGCTTTTCCTATGGCCAAAGTCCTGGCTCACTCTCTCTTCTCTGCTTTTCCATCCTGCAGATTTTGCATGCCATTTCTAGATCACCTAACTCATCACTCAACCCCAACCTTTTGTCTTTCTAAGTACCTAACAGACAGTTGAGGAAGGGAGAACCACCCATTTGCCCTCTGGCACAGAGCCGACCTCTTTGTTCCCAGGCTGGCCTTGCTATTCCAGCAATTGAATCCATGCTGGATCCAGGAATTAGAAGGGGGGCTCAGACATACATCCTATCCCCAACCCAACTCATAACTTTACCCTGGAATCTTGCATCACTCTTAGATTGGGGTGGTCTGCAACAAGGTGTACTAGAACTTTTATTACAAAAGATGTTTAGATAATCAGCCTAATCTGTCCCATTGTCCATGTGGAAACAATGTTTTGAGCGTTGCACTAAAGGGAAAGACAATTTCCTATTGTGCAACACTATGAACAAAATGATGATCCTCTTTTAATCTGAATTGTCCAATTCACATTTCTCAAAATGGCAAGCAGCTGAAAGTGCCCCAGTAGATTATTTACGCCATCTGTTCATCTATATCAACATAACATTGGCATGAATCATGATTTTTTTTTTTGTACTGATGCTAAGACAAAATGGATACTTGTGATGGATAGACCTCTGAAATAGGATGCCAACCTCCTTTCCTCTCGCTGTATTAAAAAAGTGTGACATTTATATGCATCCCACATTGTAATCTCAGTCTACTGGCAGTTAGAAATGGGATTGCACCAACCATACAGTCAGAGAGTTTCCCATGTTTAAAATGCTGGTCACTGTAGGGCTTTTGTTACTTTTGCTCTGGGGTCAACTGCTATAATAGCATGAGCCTTGCTAAATCTTCCAATTTCAAACAGAGAGAGTTGTCAAAAAGCACAATCAAATAGATGAAAAGCATGTCAGAGGGAGAAGATCAAAGACCAAAGGACAACCACCCTCACCTCAATGTTCACAGTTAAGACTCATTGTGGCCTCTTCATGAAGGAAGCGTTATACCAGGAGGGAGCAAAATGGCAGGCCGTTTCTTATTACCTCTCATCCCCATGATAGAAACATCTGAGAGGGGCTGACTAAGTAGTTGAAGCTGAGAGTTGTTGTAACTATTGTGACTTTACGAGTCTTTCCACCTGACCTTGAAAAATCACTTTCGTGCTTTGTTTCTGTGACCGTGTGAAGTTTGTGAGAGGCAGCAGCCAAGAGGGCCACTGGCTATAACCAGGTGTGGATATACTCACACAACACATCTTTTAAAGTCCATGAATGTCTCCTTCTCAAACATCTACTCTAGAAGTAGCCACAGTGATGTTTTCCATAAGTTATGGACAATAGCCCCCATCAACTGCAGCCAACATGACCAATGGGCAGGGATAACAGGAGTTGCCATCTACAATGTCTGGAGGTTACCTCTGCACTGTCCTTATGCCATGTATTCAAAATATCAAATTCTATGTGTAGACTGAGAAAGGAATAGTCAAAGTGTATATATACTCTAATTCAGTTTACATTACAGTGGTACCTCGGGTTAAGTACTTAATTCATTCCAGAGGACCGTTCTTAACCTGAAACTGTTCTTAATCTGAAGCACCACTTTAGCTAATGGGGCCTCCTGCTGCCGCTGCACTGCAGGAGCACGATTTCTGTTCTCACCCTGAAGCAAAGTTCTTAACCCGAGGTACTATTTCTGGGTTAGTGGAGTCTGTAACCAGAAGCGTATGTAACCCGAGGTACCACTGTAGTAGTAAAAAGATAACTGAAAAGGTCTGTTCAATGTTTTGACTAGCTAGTAAGACCAATTTGGGGGGCAGGGAGAGTGACAGAGAGCGAGAGAGAAAGAGAGGGGGGGGGGCTTGATCTGCTTTTCAGTTCAAGTCCTAGTCAAACCCAATCTGAACTGCAAACTTAACTCTGCCTTTATTTATTCCAGTGGAGAACCTGAAACATTATCCGAATGCTAAAGCAGCAGGACTCCTTAGATGTGACTGTGAACAAGACAAAAACGAAAAGAACAAGTATGATATCATAACACAGAAATCACTCATTACAATAATAGATTCAACCAGCAAGTGGTGTCAGAATTGTGACCAAAACAACGCTGGAGAGAAACAAGCGGGGACATGCCCAGGGCATGCAGAATACTAACTGCCTCCATGAAAAAAATTGTCCAGTATTGACCAAGTATGCTCAGTGGTTACAAAATGTTGGATGTTGTCATGCTTTTCTCTGTTGGAGGGGTGATGGAACACAGTACCCTGAAAAAAATGCATGACTGGATGCCTAAACAAGGTAACTCCACATTTGGTTGCAGGTTCCCCTTGTTATTATTCATTATAATCTTGTTATATTCCTATGGGGCATATAAAACAAAAAGGAGGCAGAAACACAAAGAAATGCAAGAACACAATGTAGTGCTTTATGGTGTACCTAAAATGTCTAAATGTATCAGAGGTGAAAGACTGGAAGAGGAGCATAATTGCTTTCCATCCTCACTAAAGCAGGAAACAGAAAGGTTCGTTAATTTGTTAAACCGCTTGGCCACATTTTGCTTTGAATTCTACCTCACTTGAGCTGCCATAGGTCACCAAATGAGTCTCATTAGCACAAGCCCTGCACAAGGTCTTCTGTTTGTGCAATGGGGCTTTCCCTCTCATTCCCCCCAGAGCCCTGCAAATTGGCTCAGGGGGTCAGGAGAACCCTCAGAATAGCGCAAAGGGAGAGGAGAGGGAGATTGTTCCATCTGGCAAGTTGAAACGTCTGCACTGACAAAATGTGCATCATGGTGTGACACTGAATTCCAACCATAAAGCTAAATGCATATTCAACGTTTCTGTTTTTCTGTTTTTTCATTGTTTAGTTCTCAATTTATTCCTTTTTAGTTTTTTTAATCGAAAAATTTCACTAAGCATATGCAAATTTCCATGATAAGGTTTACAAAGTACGCTGATATGTATAAAAGAAGACACTGGGTGTTAGATGCAATAACGTCATAATAGTTGTCTGCCACTCTGTGGAGATGCTCCATAATTTTGGTGCTCAAATATAAAGGCTTGTTTTCATATGTTCAGAAGCCACGGAACAAAATTACCAGCAGAGTGCTTTGTTTCCATTTTATTAAATACAGTAATTATTGTATAAGCAGCATGTTATTTGGTGTGTCTGTAGATGTTAACAGTTCTATGCAACTCAGGGTTCTGAAAAGAATAGTGCTTTCATTCACTTATAAATAACCAGGTTCTTCCATTTATAGAGTAGACCGAGAGATCAAAGACCACTCAGTCTAACAACAACATGCAGAAGCCATTCATTCTGTTTTCCTAGTGGGCCATCCCTCTCATATTAAAGTACACAGCACTGATTGGAAAAAACCCATCATGAATCTTGTTGTTTTAATTGGGGGAAATATCACATGCAAACAGCAAAGTTTCAGATCTCACCATTGCTGTAGGTGAGTGTAACAAGAAGTGGGAGGAATGACCGCTCCCCACATCAAATGGGGGGCGTACTTTGCATGGATGTGTGCAGCACCCCTGATCCCACATGGCTCCTAGCAGTTTTGCCTGGCATCGCGCCCCCCAGCTGGATACCTGGAGGTTTCCGCCCAACTTCAGACAGTCAACCAATCCCAGTGGGGGAGGCGTTGCCAAGGGGAGTTGGCGAGGTAGGGGGTGACACTTCCCCACCCACACAATAGATGGTGGAACTTACCTGGGGGATCAGAGTCAGCTCCAGAGCTTCGCGAGTGGACATCACTGGAATTCATCCTACATCTGGAGAGGTGAGACTGGGGCCCAACCCTTAGTAGCCTGGCTGGGTGGGCTGCGAGGAAGGCCTTGCCACATCGTGCAGCCTTCTCCTCTCCCCCCCATGCCTGTTTTGGCCCCTTGGGGGGTGGAGGTGGCAGAAGGGGCCTCCCGCCCGTTTCCCGTGATTCTGGGGGGCTGGGCAGGCTGGGGGGGGCTTGCCACGTGGGAACCGGTCTTGGATTGGGGTGGTCTCTGCCTGTCCATGCAATGACATACAATGGCTACCCGTCTTGAGAGACAAGGAGGAAAGAGAATCGGTTGTCTGGATTTTCGCAATGACATAAAAGGACATGGTCATGGCTGTCAGTAAGAAGGAAGGGAAGGGAAGGGAAGGGAAGGGAAGGGAAGGGAAGGGAAGGGAAGGGAAGACACAGAGAGTGCTCCTATGATGGATAGATGTTGGGTCATCCTCCTGGAGACCCTGCAACCAATCATGGCAAGGTGGAGAAACAACCAAGCAGGAGGGAGTGGGGAGTCAAAAGGTAGAATGTGAGAGTTTAACTGCCAGATAGAACTTGGCTTAGGATGTAGCTGGGTGCTTAGGGGTTTCTTAGGCAGGACAAACTCATTTAATTTCTTTAGGACAGTAGTTCTCAAACATTTTCCCTCTGGGCCACACTTTCAGAATGAAGATTGGATCACATCACACGAAATTTTTAATCGATAAGTGGGATCATCTTTAAGGATGCTCCTGGTTGCGGGCAGGCCCCCAGGCTGGTTCCTCCCGCTCCTGGCGTGGGCGGAGTAATGCCGTCATGCCAGGGTGGCACCACGATCACCCCGGCTTCTTGGCCAATCACTTTTGTGTGGGGTGATATAAAAGCGGCAGCATGACGTGTGTCAGGCACCTACTTCCAAACTTGCAAAACATGTCTTTGTTTAAAGTATTGTTTTATTAATGGCTGGAGAGGAAGGAGGACAATGTTCTTTTAAAAGGGGGGGGGGATCCTGTGTCCCTGTATACAGCCTTTAAATTATGGGCATGTTGGTTCATGGTCAACCTTTGTGCTGCATTAACTGTTGAATCAGATCAATTTCTGTGAGTCATGGAGTTTCACAGGAATGTCTTTCCGCTCTTCCTCCACTATGCATCTTCTAGGAAACAGCAATATAAAGCTGTCAATGCCTCTAAAAATATATGTTTCTATTTGCTTTTGGTGGACTTGAGATTGCTCCGCAGCCATCCTTGTTTGCTCTTTTGTTCACAAGCACTAATATGCCCAGAATAAAACAAAAGACCAGGTAAAAATGTCTGGTCAGTACCTTGAAAATAATAAATAGTACTTCAGCAGATTTTCACCTGTTATAAGACTACTGTTTACCTAAACAAAGCTGAGGGGAAATGTGACTAGAAGAGAATAACTATTTTCCCAATTGAGCTAAGATCCCATGTAACATATGGACCAACTGAGTTAGAAATGTCTAAGAGTACTCATTTCTCTGTATTTCCATTAAAAATGCCTCCTAAGGAAGAATTTCCCAATTATCTATAGGGCACAAACATAGAAAAATATAGGTGGAAAGTCAAAGATTTATAATTATTATAATTTTTGATTTAATGCTGGAGTGAGGCACCCCAGATACAGAGGGCTGGATATAGCCCAGAGCTAGATTTCATACTGCTTTTTCAGTCTCCATCTGACCACCTGCCTTTCAGCAGGGAGGGGAAAGGGCTTTGATGTTGTACAGGTTGTTCAAACTGAAGCTTTTTTTCTCCCTAGAAGTTCTATCACAAGCAGATTAAAGCAGGGGGCAAATTTCTCTGCAGACTTGTGTTCCTCACAAATATACCAAAAGTAATTTATGCATTCTGCCACTGATAAATGCAATTGCATTTTAAAATTTATGACTTTAAATATTTGTAAGTTGGGACTTGCAGTTCATCTGTGCGTTGGCCTTATTTCCATTCTTCTGCAAGTATTACCAAGATCTTTTTATCTCCCCCCTCCCAAACAGGATATTTATCTATCTATCTATCTATCTATCTATCTATCTATCTATCATCTATCTATCTATCATCTGGAGTTATGAAGAACTAAATATATGCCTTGGTTTCCATGGGGAAGAGCTATGTTAGGGTTGCCATACACCCAGAATTTCCCTGACATATCCGGAATACTGCAGTCAGTGTTGGTGCCTGGGTACATGGAGCTGGACCTCGCTGGGCTTCTTGCACCAGCTTGGAAAACACCAGGCAGTTGCGTTCTCCCCCACAAGCAACCCTCAGGATGATTCATAGCTCTTCTTTCCCGATGCGCTTCTGCGACATATATCCGAAGACATATGCACACAACACGTTAGCAGAGTCCAAGCAGAAGCTAGGCATTGGTGGTGTGGGTTTCTAAGCTACTTTATTATGTACAAAACAGAACAAAAGAAAACATGGCTCCTATCTCCTTCTTCATCTCCGAGAGAGCAGAAAAGCAAAAGTACAACATAACGGAACAGTGTAACTGAACTTCCGTTCTCATGACTCCAACAGTATGGAATGTCAACACAGACATGTGATGAAAACAATCACACATCCTGCAATGGGAGGAATGAAATCACAACAGTTGGCAGCAGTGTCCAGGTGGAAATCAGGTAAATGTCTGGGAAAATCCGGACATATGGCAGCCCATATCAGCAGTGTCTTTTTGATCCAGAGTTTTGATCCAGTAGAGGAATCCCAATATTAGTGGGGGGCAGAGGACTCTTTTGATGATTCCTCCCCCTTAATGCCACCTCCCATTCTGTTCTAAAGAGTCCCATTGAAGGTTACAAAGGGAGGGGGAAACTGGCAAAGGTCACCTTCCCTCTCTTTCCGCCCAGTGGAAGCATCCCTTAGTATAACTCTGCTCTGGCAATGCTACTGTTGTTTGAAGCAAAGTGTGAATCCAGTCCCATATCTGCTGCCAGAGCCTGCTCCATGGGTTCCAATTCTGGGGTTCTAAAATATGATGTTCTGGCTGGGGAAGGAAGCTCACAGACCCACTGCCCAGCACTAACTCTACCTGGTGATACTCTGAGTTTTTCCACAATGCCCACCGCCACTTCCTCACTGAGTATCATAACCCACTTTCGGTTGTTACCCATTACCATGTGCCACCATTTTAAATCTATAGTGGATGTCATTGTTTAGCAAGGACACCAAGCCTTTGACCATTCCAAAGCTGTTTTCACTTTTGTCCATTAGCTTTGCAAACTCTGCTGCTCAGACCTTTTATCCTTCTCAAGTTCCTAGTCCTTGGTGAATAGACACTATTTGATAGAATTGAGATATACTTTATATAAAACGGTCCAACAGGGCTGATCACTACAGTGCAGCATCAGTGATCCCTAAAACCCCCAAAGCAGAAAGGGTGCATAAAAGGATAACCACGGTTGTCAACTTGTCTCATAAAAGAAAGTGTGAACAACATGAGCATTAAATAATGATTTCTGACAGTCCAAGGCATTTTGTTTAAGACAAAGAATTCATCTTTAAAGTTTATAACACTATTTCCCCATACTTCCTCTCCCTGCCATAACAGGGCTAAACATGCCATCAATCAGAAAACCAACACAGCAAGACCTTGGGAGAAATCACTCTATAGAGGTGACCAATGATTTGACAGATTCATTAACATTAGCACCTGCTGTCACTGTGAGGATCACATTTTTTTTAAATAGATACAATTTAACGAGGATGTAATTGCTACAATCAGATTATTCTTTATGTGTCCAATATATGGATCATTACATAATGATAATTTTATGGATAATAATAATTTTGCCTCAGATGTTGCTTTTATTCTTGTTGGTACAGTATTTAATATTGTTTTACTAGTCATGTGTACTTCAAAAACATCTGCAGTACAGATGAATGAATATGCCAATTTTGGTTTCTTGTTTTTCTCATCTTAAGTTCAGTTCTCCACAACTGTTTGAGATGCAACTTTGTCTATTATACACATTTTTTCAAAATATTTTCACTAGTATATCCAGTCCATTGAACCCACTGTTGGTCTCATCTGCTAAATCTGCCAGGACCTGTCTCCACATGCAGAGGAACTCCCTAACTCACCAAGCATTTGAGACCCATCGGCTACTCTCACCTGGTTTATGGAGGTTTCTGCACATACTGTAGAGGGAAGTGAGGGGCAGATCGGGCTTATCAACCTGGGAAGGTAGCTTATCTAGGAGAATAAGACTCTGATCCTAAACCTCTGCTGCCTTGTGGGATATCTTTGGGTAAAGAAAAGGCTAAGGAGTAAACTCTAAAAAAATCTGGAGTGGAATCCCTAAAACAGTTGGATAATCTAGGACTGATCCCAGTTTTATAGCAAGTATGTTTTTGCTTATCATCCATTATACAAAACATGTCTTATAATACCTGCAGCTCATTGTGGTCTTTAGGATATCATGGATTCTCCCTGTATCCACTCATTTCAAAGCAGAGAAACATATCTGTTGCTTGACACCCGCAGATGAGATTTATTTATCTGTAACCTTCTCAAATCAGCTTTCCAACCTCCAGAAGATGTTTGCACTTGTGTGATATTGGAGGATGTATCAGAGGAAAAATTTCGCAAAACAAAGCCATAAACCATGGAAGGAAAAACGACAAAGATTTTTCCACACTGTGCAATGATGGTGATGTCCATGTGTCCTTTGTGTCTGTTCATAGTTTCAACTAAGAGGTTATTATCTGAGCCAAACATGGCTCATAAGCATACTGAGGTTTATTTAAAGCATTAAATGCAGAAAAATCCTTCCTCCGCCTTCACACTTAAAAATATTGTTTATATTGTTTATTCCATCTCCAGGCTGTAATTTTCTAGATGCCTTGGTGCTTATTTTCCCCCTAGTCAACAGCATCATTCAACTGTATTATCAAATAAATATAAGACAAAACCACAAAAACTTCATACAACTGAGTTAAATGTATGAAATGCTATATTTTGATATTCCAATGGAATCTTAGTAAGATGTAAAGCACATATGAGAAACACGACTATGTACTCAAGAAATAACACCTTATAGCAAAAAACACAAAAAGGGCAAATTAAGGTTGCAAAGGCAACTGCCAATGTATTAGCTTTTTCAAAAAACTTTCAAGTTGTTGACTTAACAACCTCAGTAACGGTCCTTTAAATGTCATTTTAAAACATGCAGTTATCTAGGTTTTCCTAGGAACAGCAAAACCACAAATCTATTATGTATTTAAAATATGCTTTTCAGAGATCCTCTGTGAGAGCTTTAAATTAAAGATATAAATAAGGAACTGGTATTGGAGATATTAATATTGCACAGTTTGAAGTGACTGGATGCATGAAAACTGACTCCCTTTGAAAGGAAGCATTGTTCAGACCGATTAGATATTATTCAAAAACTTTATTTGCAGAACTTTATTCATAACAGAATTAAAACATCAAATGATACGTCCAAACAGTTTCATAAAACATAGGCTTCTCCAAGCATAGGCTTAGCATCATCTTAGAAATAAAATAACTTGCCACCCCCACAAGCACGCTCGGTAAGGATTAAAAACAGGGCCCTCTCTGTGGCTGGTCCCAGACTTTGAAACTCCCTTTCTAGAGAAATTCACTGGCTCCCTCCTTGTTGTCCTTCTGTTCCATCAGGCTTTTGAGAACAGACTGCATTTAATGAAAGGGCATGCAATTTATAAACATACAGATGGAATGATAGTTTTAATTCTATCAATGTTGAACTGTTTTTTAAAGACCCCAGCTATGATTTAGCTGTTCTTATTTTTATCTGGAAACCACCTTGAGTCCCTGTCAGGGAAAAAGGTGTGGGTATAGATAAATAAATAAATTTGTACCACCACCACCAGCAGCAGCAGCAGCAGCAGCAGCAGCAACAACAACAACAACTGGAGTAGGTAGAAATGACACTCTGCCCTGCCAAGTGCCCTGAAGAAATGAAAATACCCCCTTTCCCAGTCATTAGATTGATCATCCCCTTCCTCAGTGGATCTACACAGATATGCTGAGAAGGTGGGGGGTGTTTGTCCCTGTGGGTTGGCCACACCCACTACTGGCATGTGGTTCCAAGAGAGTTGGCCAACAGTTGGCTTTTGAGGCAGAAGTTCTTAGCCACCCGCAGTATAGAACACCTTATTGTTCAATATGGTAATATTTTCCATTAATACAGCACTATCAGAAGTGGTTTATCTGGTGGGGCGAAGCAAACAAAAAAATGTGAGAGGAGCACTCCAGTAACCTAGGGGTATTTTTTAATGAAGTATGTTTGAACATGTATATAGTATAAAAAAATAAGTTACTTCCCTCCTGTCAGGGAACTGACATCGGAGCCAGAGGCGGAGGCTAGGCTCTCAAGCGATGCTGGAGAAGGGCCCAGCAGGGGGAGAGGCGGCTCACCAGCTAGGGAAAGAAATCAGCGTAACACCAGGGATAGAGGGGGGCAGATGGGGGAATCGGTGAGGGGGCTCCAGGACTCATCGCCGGAGATCAGCGAGGAGAGCACGGGTCCTCCGCTACCCACGCCCTCCCTGCGCAGAAGACTTCCGCGCAGGGAGAGTAGGAGGAGACTTGGAGTCAAATAACTTTTATGCTGGAAAAGGTTTAAGAAACGCCCACTGACGGATTCTGCTAGCGACTGAACAGCCATGAAGTGCAGGGCTGTCCAGACAGAAAAGGTTTAACAAGGCAACCTAGCCAGGAGTGGCACCAACTTGCGCACGAGCAACCCCTACATTTATGACACCTCCAAAGTATGCCTTTTAGCATGAATGATAGTACTTAGAGACGGAAAGATATGTACGTAGGCCGACATGGTTGGGCTCCTAGGGGAGGAGTGAGAGGATGCCTGGAGAGTATATAAACTGCATGAAACCTGTCATTTCTTTGGACTTGCTGTGGACTTGATCACGCAAGTGCCTTCTGCTATCCGGAGAGCAGAATAAACTCTTTCTTTGAAGCAACCCCAGTGTCATTTTGACTTCCTCCTGTCCTGGAGCAACGCTGACCCAATCGGTGAATTCCAATAAGGCTACAAGATCTACTTAGTAATAACACACAAAAATAGAAACAAACCCGAATGATACTATTAAACCTGAGTGCAAAAAGCTAAAAAGCCTTGGTTTTTCAGTACATTAAGCAATTAGGATCCCTAATTTAAAAAGGACTATTTTCCTCTCTCATCAATTTAAGCAGATGTAATGCTGCCGCTCTTTCACCTTCCCTTCGGCAAGTACGTGTTAGCAACTGACAATCATCAGACAATCAAGAGTCCATTTTCATTCTCTTTGCCTTGAACCTATGGTTGCTTTTGGAAGAGAGATGCTTGCATTTGAAGTATGGGTGGTATGAGGTTAAATTCTCCATGTCTAGGCAATGATGTCCTACCAATCCAACTTAGTCATGTTAAAACCTTAATTTTTGGGGGGAATAGATATCAAAGAGGAATAAAAAAATGTTTGCTATATATTTCTTATCGGCAGATGCTGACTGGGAATGCACATCTTTGAGGCTGCATTTGTTCATAGGAACACAGAAATTTCACTCCATGAAATTTAAATTAAATTGTCACAGGTCTAGGTGCTATGATTTGAATTAACTTGGGCTGTTTCCTGGGTTGCATGCTACATTAAACACATTAATTTTAAAGCGGTTAAAGCAAATAGATATTCTTGCATGATTTATTTTTTTTAAAAAAACAGCATTTTCAGCTCAGTCCTATGGATGCCTAGTTAACAGAGTTCCATAGCACTCACTCCTAAATATGAATGCATAACACTTCAGTTTGCACTTCAGTTTGAACTCAGAAACAAATTTCATTCATTTCAATGGGACTTTCTTCCAAGGATAAACATGCTTAGCACAATTCGTATGGCGTGTTTATGGATTGATTCCCCAAAGAGATGCACAAGATGGTAGTGTTTATGTCCTCAAATAACATCCCAGTTTCTCCTTGCAGTCTGCCCTCAATTACTTCCTCTTGGAAAAGTATTTTTAGAACAGCAGTCAGTTCCAGACCCTTAATAAAGCACTCCAGACCAAAAATAGATCATCACATGCCTTTGTAATTTTGATCTGTATCCAAATACTGATTGTCACCTGTTTTACTCAAACTGTCACCATGGAGATTGGCACTTGCACATCAAGAGGGCTAAAAGAAAAGGCAGAAAGGAGGTGACATCCTTGGGAGATGATAATTCTGTGAACTCAGTGGGTAAGAATTTGATGTACCGGTACATTGTATTTTCTCCTTTCTCTCCACTTTTCCTTTATGTCAGTTGTTGATGTGTTGATGAATAATTGCATTTTTTAAAAAAAATAGCTTATCAATAAGAAGTAAACAAACAAACAAACAAACAAACAAACAAACAAGCAAGCAAGCAAGCAAACTCTGTTCAAATGAATGGCTGTATCTGCTACTCAGAGGCCAACTGATTGTAGATATTAGGGAATATTCAGTCAAAAGTTCTTCTAAAATGCTATGGACACTTTAGAGTTGGGAACTGCAGGTGCTACAATCCTGTTGTGTCCATGCTCTCACCTTCCACTGCCTCAGACTCAACATTTTATCATGCATTTTGCAATTGAGTACACAAAAGGAATAATTTCCCATGCAGTGACAAATACATTTCGTAGCCCAGAACTCTGTGTTATTGCCAAGTGGAGGGGCGGATGTTTCCCTGTTTTTTAACATTTCACACATAACGTCAATCAAAGGTGCTGGGCCACCTGATGGTAAATCCTTAAAGTTCTCCTTGACGCCAATTAGTTACTCATTTATTTACTCATTAACAGACTTCAGTCACCTTGTCATGTTCTCAATCAGGATTGATTACAAGGCTCTTTTCCAGTCCTTTGGGAATCCCATAGCTTATGTGTTATGTAAACATCCAAGGGAGCCCAGTCATGGGAGTAGAAATTATTGATCTTTCTAGAAGCAATGTTGGAGAAACCACAGAGCAGAAAGCAACTGCTTTGCCCTAGGCAATTGCACAGGAAGCCTGATATTATAGAAGCGGCTTAGTTGCTACTCCTCTGCAACTACAGTATCGTAACATAGGAGAATGGAAAGTACAGGACAGGAGAATCATATGGAAAGAAGTGTGCTATTAGTACATTACTTCCCCATCTGTTGCTGCTGAGCTTGTGTTTGGTTGCACATTTGGGGTTGATGGGGGAGTGGATTCTGCTGGGCAGCTGTTGATGAGTAACAGCAGTTAGAATATCACAAGGTCTTGAAACATGTGGATTGTCCCACTGCCTCCTCATTATGCGCCCATTGACAATAACAATTGTCTCAGAGCTGCCCTGTTACTACCTAGCATCTCAACCAGCCACTAGAACAATGTATTCAATGCTATGTGGACTACTCTAAGAAGGCAGTGATTGAGGAAAGCTGCATTTCATCCATTTCCTGCAGTTGTCTTGGAGCCATCCATAAGTAATGGAATCAAAGCCCAGATCACCTCCAAATCAGCTGGTCCAGTTTGAAATTTGGCCAAATCTGGTGCAGACCCAGCAAATTAAATGGTTAGTGGAGTTACATAAAGAAAAAAGATTCAATAAACGACCAGTTGAAAGGCATGAAGACATTCCAGGAAACCTCATAAACCCCTTAATTGCTCTATTTATTATATGATACTTTTTCTTTCTCTGAGAAAAATTGGCTATAAATCCTCTAAGTAAATAATCCAGATTCACAGGGATGACATTTCCCCCCACATAATGGTGCACCTTCAACAAGGTTCTGCACTCATACGGCAGCAGGGTGGCAAAGTGTATATCTATAGATATTATGGAGGGTGGACAACCAGACCATTCCTATCGTGAGACTCAAGTGGCTTAAAAAAAAAATAAGCTGAAAAAATTATACAGTGGTACCTCTGGTTACGTACTTAATTTGTTCTGGAGGTCCGTTCTTAACCTGAAACTGTTCTTATCCTGAAGCACCACTTTAGCTAATGGGGCCTCCCACTGCTGCTGCGCTGCCGTCACATGATTTCTTTTCTCATCCTGAAGCAAAGTTCTTAACCCGAGGTACTATTTCTGGGTTAGCGGAGTTTGTAACCTGAAGTGTATGTAACCTGAAGCATATGTAACCCGAGATACCACTGTAGCACAATTTTCACTACAAACTTTACTTCATGTTAGTATGGAGTAAAGTGTGACTGTGGGTATGGAGCCAGGAGAAGGCAGTTAATCCTATTAATTAAGGAGGAGATCTTGTGTAAATGGCACTACTTTCTTCTCCAAGAAGTTTGCTTACTACACCACATACTTTTCAAAAGCAGCAGCCTATGAAAGAAATTGGAGGTTTCTTTCTGCTACAAAGTACAACTGCTCTTTTACAGCTAGTCATTAGTGGTTAGGGATACAATGAACACATCTGATCTCGCGGCAGTAAATATATGGTGCATAAATGGGGAACTTGCAGAAAGGGTAAATCTGTGCCAACAGTGCAATCAGAATGTTTATGTTTATCACATCCCTTTATATAGCACATTACAAATCGGTCTTCAAACAGTTGAGAATTGGTGAGATGGCAGCCACCATCCAGGCAAAATGGTAAATACTGCATTGTTACATAAGCACCTCAATCTTTGAACAGTGTGAGTTTCCAGATGTCCAGATGCCTTCTCAGGATTCATGTTTCCTTTGGAATCGAGGCACAGTGGAGACTGTTGTATCTTTATGATATATGGTTTCTTTACATATATTTACAAGGCTTGCCCCACAGCTAGTTTTGGATTATCTGTGCTCAGATTTGATTGGAATGGTGGAAGGCTACCACAGTTACCATTTTCTGTGCCTCTGTTGTTGCCTCCCACAAATTCTTGCTCAGTTGAGGCTTGTGTAAATCATAATCATGATAATTTATACCCCGACAATAGAGCCTAAAGCAAGAATGGCTCACTTGTGGTCCTTCAAATGTTGTTGGATGGGATTTTCCCATCACCCCAGATCATTGACCACATTGGCTGGGGCTGAGGGGGGTTGGGTCACAGGTTAGCTACCCCTACATAGGCATGTGTGCTTCACAAATGTCTCTAAAACACCCTTTTGAGAGATGGAAACATTTGCAGGAGTTAGCTCAAGTGATGTGTACCAACCTGGATGGATTTAAAAGAGAATTACACAAATTCGTGGAGGAAGAGGCCTATCAGTGACTATTAACTGTAATGGCTATGCTTCGCCTCCACTGTTAGAGGCTGAATGCTTCTATCTACCAGCTACTAGAACAGCAGGAAGGGACAGCTATTGTCTTTGTGTGCCTGCTGGAGAGCTCACTGTGTGTCAGTGGCCCCAGACAGCCATTACCGGAAAGTCCCTTCTGAAGTTTTTCCTTAAAATAAAAAAATAAGAGCAGGAGAAAGTGAGAAAGTTCCATAGGCTTACTTCATACCAAAGCTGTATCAGTTACTGCCATGGAAACACTTAATCTAGTAACTCTCACAATAGTGTGGGCGGGGTAGGATAATACAGTTTTCCCTGTAAACCAGCAAATAAAAGGAAACCCTATAATTTAACACATTTTGTCATTAAACCCTGTCGTTAACACCTATAAGTCTATTCTTCTACATGAAGCAACCAATCTGGGGTTTGGTCAAGGAGAATGAACTTCTTAATATATACCACCAGTGTGTTTTTCTTGCCACATAGTTTTCGGAACTTGAGAAAACTTGTGTGATAAATACATTATTTTAAGTTGTAAGCATGTGTTTTCTGTAGCTAGTACTACAGTTTGAAAAAGACACATGGGATAGGCCTAGTATTTGTGAGGGCAGCATCATACCATCTCAGCCTGGATGTGGGAGCAAATACGACTGAATTGGTTCCCCAGAAGAGCAACAACACCAACAAACAAGCCCCTTTATATAAAACTACCACATTGGAGGAAAGGTTATTTATTTGTTTTCATTTATTCAAAGGAGGAGGACAAGGCAGGGTGCACAGGGTTAATGGCCAACAAGACCTGCTTAGTAGAGTTGGGCAAGCACCAAAATGTTCTCTCTCACACACCCCAAATTATTTGCTGCCCTTTGAGTAGGTTTTCTGGGCTTTCCACATCAGTGCTTGCAGGGCACATATCAGCTCTGTGCATACTGTCCCTGAGTTTGCCCATGATAGGGAAGGAAGAGCTCACTTAAGAACACAAGAAGAGCCTGCTGGATCAGGACAGTGGTCCACCCAGTGCAGCATCCTGTTTTCACAGTGGCTAATCAGATGCCTGTGGGAAGCTTACAAGCAGGGCCTGAGCTTTAACAGCATTCACCTCTCCTGATGTTTCCAGAAACTGGTATCTAGGAAGCATTACTGCCTCCAGGTGTAGGTGCACAGCATAGCTGTCATGGTTAGTATATTTGATAGCCTTATGCTCACCTAGGGTAAGAGAAGTGTGTAGCAAGAAAAGGATGTGTTCGGCAGTGGTGAGAAATGATATGCTGAGCATCTTTTCCCACCAGGAATTATGGGGTCCAATATTGCCAGTGGGCTGCAATGCTCAGAGCACATTTTTCATCAGAAGAGACAGGTTACTGGACATGAACAATACCTTGGGAATCTTTTCCTGCTGGGGATAATGGGTCTTGTAGACAAGCATCTTCATATTTGGTAAGAAAAAATATTATCAGATATTGTCAGGCTTCGGGGAATCAGATCCCTCCACCACTGGCAGAAAAGAAGCAGATAAAAAGAAGAGTTATTACCAATTAGTTTATTCAAGAATCACAGTGAGAGACAAAGGAATGTGGTCTCTCTCTAGAAATTGCGTTGCTCCAAGTAAAGTCCCACCCCCTCCATCTCTACTATTCTACGTCACCCCTACGTCGGCTAATCTGAGCTTTCCGTCACTGAGCTTTCTGTTCTACTATCCTCCATGCCCGCCAAGTCTTGGGGGAGGAGGGGTCAGGAATGCTTTCCAAAGACACTGAGTCTGTCAGCTGTCTGCAAACCACTGTTCTAAATCTATGCTGTCCTGTCCTCGGAAAGGTTCAGGAGAAGGGGGCAGCCCCCACCATTCTTCCTCAGTCCAGCCCCTGACCAATATGGTACTGCGTGTCCTACTTTACAATGGACAGTTTTTAAAGGCCTATTAGGGAACTGACCTTTATTTGAAGGGCGATAGTCCTATAGCTGAAAAGGTCATACATTTCAAAGTGTTTGCAGTGGAGGGTCCCAATGTCGGTCTGTTTGTTCTCCCAACCGGGCATTAGCATAGAAAAGAAATCCTACCATACTCCTTCCACCCTGGACAGCATGAGGGGCAGGGCTGTGAATGCAGAGGCGGTTCCACCACTGTATTAAGCCCTTCTGCTTCTGAGGCTGATGCTCTGGCAGGGTCAATATTGAAACCATAAGCATTTGATCCACTGGTAGATTCATAACATACAAAGCTGATTTTGGTTCTCATTGATTATAACCATTTTATTGCATCCATGAATGAGATCAGCTAACTTACAGCATTTGTCTTATTTATAGTTTATTAAGCAACAACAACAAAATAACGACAACTTGAACATACAAAGTGCGTGAAGCACATTAATCAACCTTGGTTCTTGTAAAATTGTGAAGAGGGACAGTAGGATAATTTGAACACTAATGTGCATCCTGGCAGTTATTTAGAATCTGTTCCCTTTGGGAAAGAAATATGGTAGTACAGAGTATATTGTTATTAAAATTTGGCCTGGCTTTACATGAAAGGATGGGTTAATAAGTTACAAATCTGGGAAGATGCTTCCGCTGACATTTCCATTTATCTCTCAAAGGCAAAAAGTAAGACAAATTGGATGGCTCATACTTGCTTTTTCTGCATCCATTTGGACTAGCGTGTCAAGATGCTTGCTACTCAGGGGTTTAAAATTGATGTTCATTTTTTTTCACCTGATGTTCCAAATGGATGCAGAGAAAATGGGAATTAAATGATTGCTCATATTTTTAAACCATCATCCTATAATTTCAGCTGTTCTCAAAAAGAGGATATATATCTCAGTCTAAAGCTAAAATTTAACAGTCGAGTGCATGGGAGTGGGGAGCAGGCATCACAAGATGACTTGCATTTAGTATGATTTGAGGGGGGTTTTTTTATTAAAAAGGGGTATTAATTACAAATAAAATTCATAGTAGCATTGTGCATCTACCTACAAACTCTCTTTCAAATCTCACCTCTCTGGGTATTATTAGTTTAATGGATAATTCTCTTTCCATTTGTTTATGTAGAATTCTTATATCTCACTTTATAGCCCCAAGAGGTTCTCAAGGCAGCTTACAAAAAGTGATCACTATTAAAATAACACTAGTATTATTATTATGTATTATTTAATAAATTTCACCCTTCATCTGAGGATCACAGGGCAGTTTACAATATAAATATACATAACACAGTAACTAACAAAAACAACACCCCCAGACACACAGTTTAACAGACTATAGATGGTTTAATTAGCCAAAAGCCTGTGGGAAAAGGAATATAATATCAGACAGAAACCAGGCAGCAAATGCCACCATCCATGTAACTTCTCCAGCCCACAGCCTCAGCTAAATGTGATTTATCAATGTGTTTTGGTTGTACAGTGGTACCTCAGGTTACATACGCTTCAGGTTACAGACTCCGCTAACCCAGAAATAGTACCTCAGGTTAAGAACTTTGCTTCAGGATGAGAACAGAAATCGTGCTCCAGTGGTGCGGCGACAGCAGGAGGCCCCATTAGCTAAAGTGGTGCTTCAGGTTAAGAACAGTTTCAGGTTAAGAACGGACCTCCGGAACAAATTAAGTACTTAACTCGAGGTACCACTGTATTGTTGAGAAACATGCAATTTTATGTTGGTTTCTATTATCAGATTACTCATGGATCTGGAAAATCTGGATTGATTGTGGGAAAAGTACAGACCCCCACTTGGTTGAGGAGGTTGTTTTCTGGATTCCAGCATAAAAACTGAGACAGAATGAGCTTTGAATCCACATATAGCCAGGTTTCTTCAGGCAGCATTTTTGCCTAATAGGTAACAAGAACTTGCCACCAAATTATTTGACTTTTAGGGTGAAATCCAATGCCATCAGGACAGATTTCTGCTCACATAATAAGAGTTCTTCTTCTGCTCCTCCTCCTCCTCCTCCTCCTCCTCCTCAGGAACTATAAGTAAGCCACAACCCACATCTCCCCTGGGTTCTCTAGTGATACATGTCTGTGCAGACCTTCCAAGTGTCCCTATTTTCCAGGGATGTCCCTGATTTAGAGAAGACACCCCAATTTCTTATTTGATCCTGGAATGTCCCATTTTTTCTTAGGATGTCCCTATTTTCATTGGAGAAATGTTGGCATGTATGGAGTTATCTGACCCCTGAGCTATCTGAAAGCAATCCTGTATAGGGAAGTTTTTTAAATGTTTAATGTTTTATTCTGTTTTTTTGTATATGTTGGAAGCTACCCAGAGTGGCTGGGGCAACCCAGTAAGATGTATGCGGTATAAATAGTAAAATTATCATTATGGAATGGGACGTCCCTGGTTTCATCAGAGAAATGCTGGGGGGTATGAAACTCATCCTTAGTAGTTTTAAGCATTCAGAGTTCTTGTTGTTATGCTCTGAATTTTGAACGCTGAACACCCACCTCCCCACCCACTTGCTGGCTGTGTTCCAGAAAGCACAAACAGAGTCAAATTAAAAATAGCTGTAGCGCCAATATGCAACCCAATCTACTGACAGAATAGCCGTCTGTAGATGTGTCTTGTATCAGTGTCCCGACATGCAAGCGCCAAAGCACCTCTCCACAGGTAAGAAATGAGAAATTTTCAGGGCTGTTGAACACCGCACATTTTCACAGTGGATCAAGACAAAACTATTTAGTCCAGGTGCTCCTGTAATTATGTTACATTGGAAAGCTCAATATTGTTCAATGGGCCTCAAACTCTCATGTCTGAGGTACAGAGACAATGGAGCTATCACTAGAATATTGTGTTGCAGTCATGGAATAAAATACAGGTCAAATGTAGGTGTTTATACTTTTTCTTCTTACTATGTCCGTTAGGAAGATCTAGATGCCAAGGTTTGTACTAAGATGTCTCAGTTCCAAAGGAAGATATTGCAAATAACTAAAAGTTAACGATTCACATAGATTATATTGCTATTGTGTGCTATTAGACTTTTAGACAACAAAACAAGCCAGTGAGATTATCTGTACATAACTATTATTAGAATCATCCTCTGTATGGCTCAAAGGGATGCTTGAGAAATTTATTGTTGCAGATTCTGATATGATCTGGTACCCAGTCCAAACTTTCCAGAGTAATGTGCATATCAGAAATTAAGCTACCCATTAGTACTAGAGAAGCTTTTTATTACAATGCATCACTGTTTTAAATTTTAAAAAGAGAAATGTTTGGTTAATGTGAATATATAACAACAAAATCTCGAGTTAATATCCCCTAGATGTGCTCAATGAGAAACCAGCCAAATTCTGTATCAGTTCTGTATTGCAGTAGCTATCACCTTTATTTGTTCTGCTTTACACTTCCTTTAACAGCCTATAAAATGTGCATAACAACAAAATAAAAGTCCACACATTTTATTCTTTGAAGACCATTAATGGTTTAACATCTTCCCATATATATATATATATATTCTTTGCAAGTGTTTGCCTTAGATTTCCTTTACTTGCCCATATAGTTAGCACTAACCTTGGTGGTAACTAAAAATAAAAATAACGGCAAGTTATTTCACATGTTTGATTGCATTTTGTGCAGGGGTAATTGACTTATGAATTGGTGTGGAATTCAACTGAATCAAAAATTGACTGTCAGTTAGGCAACTGGATTTTTGAAAGGCTATGTGTAACATTTAAAACAATGGGAGGTTTCTCTATATTCCCCACCCCACCCCTGCTGAAAGCTTCCATATGAAACTACTCTAGGGATGGCTTTACAACTGAAACTGAAACCATTCATAGGATAACATTAAAAACCTGAGGTACTACTTCTTGGCTAAAGTTGTTGCTGTGTGAGTGACAACTTTACAAATTGGCTTCTGAATTGTCTAGACAACTTGAACTTAATCATGGGTTCATAAAAAAAGAAGCAAGAAAGAATAGGAGTTAACTGCTTTGGAAAACAGTGTATTGTGATGCTGTGAGCTGCTGCATCCACTTCCAACTTACTTTGTTCCTTGATTCAGAAACTGACCTTGGGGCAAATGTAGGTAAACAAGGAGAAAAGGAGGCCTAGTTAAGAGTGCAGTCAGAGCATCTTTTCTCACCAGGGACTGGGGCAAGGATTACAAAACCTAGAGTTCCCCCCAAGACACTGACATGACAAGCATCGTTTTCATCCAGGAGAAGACCCTCTGAGACAAAGATTCTCTACTAGGATCCTGGGAATCCATGTCATCAGCGTTTGTCCCTGCCACAAGGTACATTTCTGAGCTTTGAGGAATGGGGAGGTGGCAGCAGCAGAAGTGAACTACAGATAACATACAAGAACAAGATGATACATTACATCAGTGTCCTCTGTCAGCCACAAAAGAGCCTTCTCTTCCCAGTGCTAATGGGTGCATTGCTGGTGGTAGTGCTTTAGTTGTGCATCTTCCCTCTGCAGGTATCATGGGTAATGTCACATGTTCCACAGCCTCGTTGGGATCATACATGAATTGGCAGGCTCAGACAGAGGAGGAGGATGAAGGAGAAGGGGTGTGCATTGTGGGAACTGGGGTTGACTCCAGTTATTATGGAAGGGGGAGTAAGAGCACCAGCTCTCCTCCCTTGCCTCTTCCATAGAGTGTAGAGCCTCACTGGGGTTTGGGAAGGACCTTGACCAGCTTCTGGGAAGGATGAGTAGGAGACAGCAGGGGAGGGCACAGCCTTGTCACTGATGGCCAGGGACCACCTTTGTAGATTGGTACAGACCCACATGACCAAATAAAAATGCAAAGTGAGAGAGTCTCACTAATAAGTTTACCATGCCTCACCTTTAAAACTTTGACTGGAAGGGCATGGAAGTTGTTGGGACATTTCCATTGCTTCTGTCCAGTTCTGAACTTCTTGCTTGGTTCCTGAATTCTTGACCTCTAATGCTAAGCCTGCTGCTGAGCCTTTACTGTTACTTGGCTAAAGAAAGAGCTTTCTCTTACTCATAAATAATAGCCTATGTTGTCATCCTTTAGGTAAGAGGCATGATACGTAGCCAGATTAAAAACTGCTAGGATGTGTTAATTAGGTTGAAGGTCAGGGAGAAAGTGAGGGGCATTTTATTTTATGTGAAGATTTCTAAACTACTTCACAACAAAAGGTTGACAATGAAGTAAGATGAAATAGAAAGTACAAAAGGTTAGAAACCCAGTTAGCTCAAGACAATAAAACTAGTGCATACAGTGCATACAATTATTCCATAAAATGGCCAGATCACACTTCAAGGAAAGTGTGATCTTACCTAAAAATGTCTTTAATGGACACCTAACTATGAAAATGTTAGGGTCTTCATGAATGTAAGTTGCTAACTAATTCTAGAGGACTAAGCCCATAAGAGAACATCTGTTTGATGTAATATACATAGTAAAGGTAAAGGTAAAGAGACCCCTGACCATTAGGTCCAGTTGTGACCGACTCTGGGGTTGTGGCACTCATCTCACTTTATTGGCTGAGGGAGCTGGCGTACAGCTTCCGGGTCGTGTGGCCAACCTGACTAAGCCACTTCTGGCAAACCAGAGCAGTGCACGGAAACACCGTTTACCTTCCTGCTGGAGTGGTACCTATTTATCTACTTGCACTTTGACATGCTTTTGAACTGCTAGGTTGGCAGGAGCAGGGACCGAGCAACGGGAGCTCACCCTGTTGCGGGGATTCGAACCGCCGACCTTCTGATCGGCAAGTCCTAGGCTCTGTGGTTTAACCCACAGCGCCACCCACGTCCTTTGTAATATACATATGGAACAGCAAATACCAACTACACTTTATGCATTGTTTGCTTACATTTTTGCTTTGCACATTTTTCCAGAGCAACACGGAGATTTCTTGAATCAAGAGACTAGAGATACTTAATATGATTGGAACAGTGAGTTTCTTGGACTAAATCACAGCACACCAAGGCATTTTAGTGCTGTTGCTTTGGCTTTTTTAGTTGCCATTTTTATTCTTGGCTTCTTTTACTGTGATATATATCCTGGTACCAATTTTGATGAAGCCGGTGGTATATATGTATGAACAGGGATGCACAGCATATTGACATCCGGGGCCATCAGTTTCTATACAGAGCACCCAGAGATGCTTTGGATGTTTTGGACTGCAACTCCCACCAGCTCCAGCCAGCATGGTCAATGATAGAGAATGATGGGACTTGTAGTCCTGCCCAACAAATCTAGACAGTGCCATATTGGCTACCTCTGCGTGATCAACTGGATCAGGGACCATGTTTTTATGGCAAAGCTAGCCCTCAAGTGGCACATAAAACACTCATTAATCAGGATTAGAAGTTATTTACATAACATAATTACATGGCTCCAATTTTTTAAATAAAAAAAAATGCGATGAAACTCTCTACTTCAAAAAAAGATTTAAAATACTTTATTAATGGTTTTATACCAAGCACTGTTAAGGGGGAAATATATTTGATTTTCTTAAGTGTGATATAATGTTATATAATTAGCTTCCAATCACAGACAAGGCCCTATTCATCTGGATTAGATGGCATTAGCATAATAGAATTGCTTCTTAAGAAAAAGAAAATGCCGCAAAACACTCAAGGGAGCCTAAATACACCACACAGATATTAATGTAAAATTATAATTAAATTGAAACTATCATAAATTAGCCATACTATCATCATAACATTTCATTAGCCAACATATATTCATTGTAGTGCATGGGCTCAACAAGTTTACACATCACCCACTACAACAATGCCTTGTTTTTCCTGTAACTTCAAAATTATCTTAGAGATGGAATATAGGGCGAAAAGTTGTGTATTATCTCCTTTGGTATCATCATTCCTCTTACCTAGACAGATGCAGTATGACATACAGTGGGACCACAACCTACGCAAACTCCACCTATGTGATCACAGCTTTACCTGAATTGCCCATAGATAGATAGATAGATAGATAGAGGGTAGGACACCCTGAAAAGTACATTAATTGGACCAATGGTTATCTCCTAGAAGTTACTTAAGGTTTTGTTTAAATTGAGCACCATTGCTTTCCTGTCTATTTCCTCCTGAGTTGTTCTTTTATTTTCTTACATAAACAACTGTAAGAACTTGTTCCCACCAGAGGGGATGCGTCTTCATAACATTTTTAATACAATCAAGATTACTGCAGCATAGTCTCTAATTACGCTAATACTAGCCCTCAGAAGACCTAGTAAATTTACAAAGGAAGCAAGCAAGCAAAAAGGAACTATGGACCACGATTATAACAGCAAGAATGACAGTTACACAAATGAAACCTTACAAGGTTGGCTCCAGAATGCTGGACTCGAACACCGCTGTCATTTCAAACTTCCAAGAGTGTATTGTTTGGCTTCTACTGACCATTATCACCTTGTGTCTATTTAAATATTGTCTGCATGGGAGATATAAAAATAGTCCACAGAGATCTTTGTGATACTTCAATTTGCAGCTACTCCCATAGCAATAGCTTGCCATTGGAAGACCACAGAAGAGGCTGGCTGCATCTAATTTGGGAAATGGCTCTGTTGCAATGTTTAACACAATAGGGTCACTGTGTAGCACAAGTACTTTGAGACTGTTTGGATGCCCTCCCCAGAATATGAAAATTGGAACAGACAGATGATACGACATCAACTCTCCCATGTTTAATTTTGTAAGGGTGTGATACAAAATGGAAGCTAAAGTTATGGTTGCTTGAGGATACAAGTAAACACTTCAGCAAGTTTTAACTGTAACTCTTTATTGTGCTTGTACAAAAATAAGATTGTACTTTACACAGAATCTACTATTTGTTGTATTTTGGATAATTGTTGTGTTTTTTAAAAACAGTTCCCTCTAGCAAGCTGGAAACTACAGGCAGGATATAGTTGTCTGGAAACTGATGTATGTCAACTACTTTCAGTCAGGTCTGACTATAGTTTGCTTTTAATTCAGTGGATCACTTGTTATTTTATGATCAAGCATGATAGAAACATTCTTTCACATAAATACATTTACATGAAGAATTTTGAGAATGGTAGGGGATTGTATTGGAAAAGGAGATGCTTTCAGGGGACGTAAAATGGACTATAATGTGGAATTCAATTCCTCTATTTAATTATCCTATATTTTTAATAGAAGACATAGCAACAGAGTTCACACACCTGACTTTACTGCACAGACGAATGAGCCCAGCTAAAATGTCATTCAACTCTGGTTAGGACACATGACATTGATAGATGAAACCGAAAATTGCCAATTCAAGTTGACCCTTTCTTGATAAAACATGGCTGCTTTGAGCACAAGTGAGATAACTACCTAAATTAGTCATCATTAGAGTCCAGCAAACTCTGGGAAGCTTGACTTTCAGCTTTGGCACAAACCTGAACTATTTTTATTTGCTCTTCAAAAATAAAGGGGAGAGGGTGCTTAAGCAATACAAGTTATAGCTCTTCTATAGATTTATTCCACAATAAATTTGAGATTTCTTTTTGAAAACTCCTTGGTGTAGTAATCCTATACAGAAATCAACCCCACTGAATTCAGTGAAATTTACTCCAGATAATTTAGGTAATTTACTCCAGGTAATTTACTCCAGGTAATGTATTTAGAATTGTAGCCTAAGATACAAATTTTTAAAACACATTTTCCCCTTCTCCTTTCTTTCAGTGGTGAGCATTGTATAAGGGACTGCTCACTTCATTTCTGTATAAGCCAATGAAGCTTCTGCAGTATTTTGAGAGCTCTTGATGAGGACCAATAAACATCATTGACTTAGCAGATGATGAATGACTCATAACAAAAGGAACTGGTTTCAGACTGTGCATGACAAATTTCTCTCTCTGGGAGACTCAAATCTAGTCTCGCTAGTTTTAATAGGATTTATCACTGTGCAGACATTACTTTCAGTCATTTTCTGTGCTCATAGGCTATTTACCATTATGGTTTGCTAATACTATTTAGAAAACTATTTGGCTACTACTATTGATCATTTATATGGTACATTTTCTATCTGCATTGCAGTGCTTTCCGCTCCTCATTGTGTCTGCCCCTCCAGAATAATAAGTGTGACGTAGGTTACTATCATTCCTACATTACAGGCAGTGAACAGAATGTGAGTGATGCTTAGCTTGTATGAATTGATTGCATAGACAAAGTTCATTATAATTACATTTACAAAAAGCAAAAAGAAATCCTACACAAAATACTAAAATTAGTGCTGAGTCAGAAATGTCCCTGGCCCCATTCTTAGGTCATGAAAAAGAGAATTCTGGCTTCAGGGAAAGGGGAAAATTGCAATATTAGGGGTGACTGGGTTTGGGAGCTTCTGCTGCAAAGTGGTAAAGGCTTGTTTCTTCACCTTTTCCTTTTTATACATCTTTCAGGTAGTTTCCCCACTGTAACATGTAGTAGCAGCACTCTCACTTGCTGGATCATTTGCAGGGAAACCAAAATGCTTGTTTACAAAGCTCTTGTACTACCATATGGACCACTTATAAACACCATCTCCAACTCCTCAAAAGTTTCCATCAATGCTGTCTCGGGAAAAATTTACACATCACTTGGGAAGACAGGCAAACTAATGTCAGGGTACTGGAAGAAGCAAAGATCACCAGTATTGAAGCAATAATTCTTCAACATCAACTTCGTGGGACTCGTCATGCTGTTTTGATGCCTGATGATCGTCTTCCAAAGCAACTACTCTATTCCCAACTCAAGAATGGAAAGCGATATACCGGTGGACAACAAAAGAAGTTTAAAGACCCTCTCAAGGCAAATCTAAAAAAAAAAAATGTAACGTAAGCACTGATAACTGGGAAACACTAGCCTGTGAGCACTCCAACTGGAGAACAGACTTTACCAAAGGTTTTCATGGACTTTGAAGAAGCACAAACTCAGGGAGAAAATGAGAAATGTGCTAAGAGTAAGGCATGTTTGGCAAAATCTCACTTGGCTACGAGTGATCACCATAGAAGAAAGAAGCAGCACTCTGATCAAAGAGCTAATAGTCCACACAACGACTCCTCTGAAAGGGCACTGAAAGGGCTTCCCCACAAGAATCCTGAGAGCTGTAGTTTGTTAAAGATGCTGAAAGTTGTCAGGAGACCCCTATTCCCCTCACAGAGCTACAATTTTCATAGTGGTTTAAAAATCATCATCACCATAATCATAATCCTCAGTCCCTCTTCACAGAAAACTGGGGGTCTCATAACAAGTCTCAGAACCCTTAACTAACAGGAATCTTGAGAGAAAGCCATGTCTTTAAAGTATTATGATACAGTGGTACCTCAGGTTAAGTACTTAATTCGTCCATTCTTAACCTGAAACGGTTCTTAACGTGAAGCACCACTTTAGCTAATGGGGGCCTCCTGCTGCTGCCACGCCGCCAGAGCACAATTTCTGTTCTTATTCTGAAGCAAAGTTCTTAACCTGAAGCACTATTTCTGGGTTAGCGGAGTGTGTAACCTGAAGAGTATGTAACCTGAAGTGTATGTAACCTGAGGTACCACTGTACTGCTTTAAATGTATAGTGCAGACAAGCTCAATTTTTACCTCCATGACAGAATGCAACATGGGCTGTAAAAACCATGCCTTCACATATGCTAATATTTCTTATCGCCTTGTTTTTGCTATGAAATCTATCAGTGCTTGTACTTTCTGATGGATCAAAGATAAGGGATGGGTGGAGGAGGTAGGCATCTAGCTCTACCTTCTGACTTGTCAGGCTCTGCACCTTGACCTTTGATCTACCAGAATCCATTGGCAGGATGGGTGAGACATGCATAGAGCAATTCTGCTTTTTGAAAGCACCAGCTGCCATGGCTTTCAGTGCACAACGCTTCACACCATAGGCGAGCGAGTCCCAAAAGCTAGGAGGAAAACCAAAGTGCTTAAATAAAAAGCAGCTTGGAAAGTCAGAAAGGGCAACCTTCCATTTCATTCAGTATCAAAAATTTAAATAAATTGTGCCTATAGAAATCCTTTACACATTTTTTGTGACAGACTAAAAAGAAGAAGTTAACAGCTGTTATGGCTATAAAATCTTCCTTTATTATTGGTATACTAATCCCAGGAAGACAAATAAGGCTCAGCACATGCCAGGGATGCAGGCCTTCCAATCATAAATGAAAGATACATGGCATCAGTAAGGAAACCTATTGGCTGTGTCAATCATCTTTTATTTAGCAACACATGTTGGTAATGTAAACAGCATGGCACTAGATCCCTTTGGTAGGTTTAAATGCTTGGATGTGCAAAGCAAATAATAAAAGTAAATCTTGTCATGTTTGGTTTCATGGCCCTATAAATATGCAATCAGTTGTCAGCACAACAGCTTGTAAGTTAACAATATCAAGTTCCCATTTCCAATAAAATGTGGGAAGCATAATGTGTGATTATTTGCTACTTACATTTCTCCGATCTGATTCTATCTGCTGGAGATCTGCTACAAATAAGGAGACAGGCAGAAATACAAAATCAGCTTTTAAAAATAAAACAAAACTTCAGTTTGTAACTAGGGCATGAAGGTGATAACTTTATCCTGAAATTTCTTACTTGCATCTGGAAGAGATGGAAGCTCTTCAGATGTTATTTTAACCAGGTCAAAGTAACATATGGAGTGGACACTCACATATGGAGGATGTGAGTGTCCACTCCTGTCTCCAATGCTCACATCCTCACTTCCCCCACCCTGACCTTCCCAGCTTAAAGGGAAGGTCTTAAGTAGCTCTGAAGGGGAATTCCTTGTGCATTCAGGTGAACCTGCTTAGTAGCATCTAGGTGACCAGAAACCCTGATTGCATGTGGTTCTTGGTCACAGGGAAGGTTCTAGGTTCATTTAGGCAAAGAATCATCTTTCAGACCATTCAATTCAAGAATGAGAGGGCTGAAGCTTGCAGGGATGCGGAGGAATAGAGCAATAGTGCACATTGTACACCTCATCTCTTCTGTGAGTTTCTTTCTTTCAAATGAAATGTGGGTGGGATTATGATGTGGATTTGTAGCTGGTTGATGACTCTCCATCAGCAAAAGTAGGGTGCCACAGGTTTTTGTCCTAGGGCAGGTGTTGTTCAACATCTTTATAAATGATGTCAATGAAGGTCATCAAGTGTGCAGATCACATCAAAATGGGTAGGATAGCTAATACTTTAGAAGATTTTTAAAAAGATTTAAGATTGCCTTGATATTATGGGGAATTGACCAAAGCTAACAATATGATTTTCAGCAAAGATAAATGCAACAGTCTGCATTTAGGCAGGAAGATGGCTAATACTGCCATCTTGGCTGCTGCCAGAGGCTCTATACCATTCACAAGTGCAAGATCATCAGGTATAGCAATTCCTATCACTTCTATCTATGCTGGCGAAATCTGATACAGGTAGGAAATGTGGATTTTCTTCCAGATGTTCAGATCTTAAAAGGTATGTGACCTGTGACAAAAATGTACAAGTCCTGCAAACGATGACTGTTAAGGGTCAAGAAATTGCTTCAATCCAATGAACTTTGTTGATAATTTATAATTACATTGCCACACATCTCCTATGCAAAGACAAGTGATAGGAAAATAGGAAGTTCAGAGCTATCAAAAGTGGATGATCCATGAAAGTCTAAGTCACAATGAAAACAAAGATAAATTATCTGAAAGAACACAAAACAGTTAGCTGATTTGCACCCAGGGAAACTGAATGACAAAATACTCCTCCCAAGGGTTTCAAAACCAATTAAATGTTTGTGCATGCCCTGGAGAATGAAATGATGAGTGGAAGAGAATAAAGAATGTGACTTAAAAAAACCCCAACAACTCTCAAAAGATGTGGTGTGGATTAGAAGACTGGAGGGATTTAAGTTTACTGCAGTACAAAGTTTTTCTTGCTTTGTGTAGACTTTGCTCCATTTTTATCATTTTTATCATTTTGTTCCTCTGTTTGTTTCCCATTCCTTTTGGTGTTAGCAATGATTACCCCATAGCTACAATGGTTCCCATCTTTCTCTCTCTCACTTGAAGAAGAGAATTAAAATTTCACCTCAAGCATTCATGGTTCCAGAGAATTACTTTCTGTGCAAGAAAACAACAAAGAAAAGACTTTTTTTTACTGAAGACAAGCTTTTATATTTACAGAAATTAAAGTTGCCTTTAGACAATTTGGCATGGAGAGATGGAAGAGGATATGCTAAGCTCATTACCAAAGAAGAAAGCTTCATTAAAATGAATTGTAGCAGCTCAGAAATACATATTTGTTTAACACAATATAGCTTGGTTCTTTCAAAGAGTATTATGGAAATACTGCATTATAGAGGCACAGCCCTGCTCTATTCTCCTTGCACTACCCCTACACATGAAGAAGACTCATTACTAGTGCCTTGCAGATGGCAAATATGGGTTCGTCACTAATCACTTTGGAAGGAGGGAGAAAGATCAAGTCTTCTGGAGCCTGGATAACAGAAGTGAAATATTGTTCTATGCGAGGATATGGAAACATCTGTCCTTCATCAAGGAAGAGAAGCTCTTCATGCATTATAACATCCCTTTAAAAAGCACACTCATCTTGCCAAGATATAAACCCATATATTTTTATCCCTGAGATTAATTTAAAATGTATTTATAGAGACATCATTTCTTAAAACTTACATTGCTGAAGATACTAAATGTAATTCTTTCCTGTTTAAAAATAATAACCTTATTTGACTCCATGGATGTAATTTCTTATTAAAGTCTGCTGAAAATTCACCATATGAAATTATGAGGAGTTTTCTTTTAAGGACATCTGTTCCATTCATCTTAGAAAGGAAAAATGACTCAGGAGATGAAAGGGGTATCTCTTCTTTCTTTCTTTTAGAAAGTACCATATTTTCAAATAGGACAGCTAGGCATACGCTAACTTTAAAATGGTTTGAGGCTCTCCATGGACATCTAGCTAGTTTCTGTGAGAACAGGATGCTGGACTAGATGGGCCATTAGTCTGATCCAGCAGAGGCTGTTCTTATGCTCTTATGTGCATTGTCTTCTCCTTACTCCTAGGTATACAGCATGAGGACAACGCAGCAGAAGAAATTCAAGGGTGCAGAATCCTATTAGCCTGACCAAACAATACATTCTTTGACCATCCAGTGACCAAGCAGTGTACTGACAACTAAACAGCAGCTACCCTTTGGGAGGGATCAGCAATACAGAATAACCCTAGTTTCACTTGAATATCATGGCTAGATTTTCTTCAGCTCACTTAGTGTTGGTATTATGGCTAGAATTATTTCTTTTTGCTTTATTTTTTTGTTCAGCCATTTAGAGACCACTTTATCCTTTGTCTCTAAGCAGTGTACCAGTGTGATTAAAATGATACAATAAAAGTAAAAAATAAATTAGAACTAACCAGAAAAATCAGAAAACTTCCTTTATTTATTTCAACAGAAAATGCCATTTCTAAAATTAGTGATGTTACTATGGCTATTAGTGATGTCACTATTAGTGATGTCACTATGGCTGCATTCCACTGTCATCTGGGAAGATTTACTTGATCCATTCAGAGGCAGTGTTAGAAGAACATAAGCAACATTCTGAACTGTATGGATCCTAGACTAGACAGTTCTCTATGAGATGAGAAACACACACACACACACACAGAGAGAGAGAGAGAGAGAGAGAGAGAGAAAACTTGTGCAGTAAAACTAGGGCTTGTAGTTTCAGAGAAGAACAAATCTCCTCATGTGACATGAGATGCAGTCAGGCAGCACTTTATTCAGACTTCCTTACCTATTCAATTCCACATTTCATGTGGAATAAAAGCTACCTCTGGAAATTAAGTCAAATCTAGCAGAAGCTTTGCACTTATTTTTGTGTTGTTTCAAAAAAATAAAAATTTAAAAATCCATTTGCATCCCTGTTAACTTAGGAAATCATGGCAGCTTTGCATTATAATTTTCCAGCAGTTTTCATGATCATGCCACAGCCGCTCATTGATGAAATTTGGGGTGGTATCCTGACAAACAGTTCTTTCCTGCTGTTTAAAATTAAGCATGACATGGCAGTACATTGATCAAAAAAACATAAATGCATAATACAGTGGTACTGCAGTGTAAAAGGAATATTCAGTATTATGCATGCATGTTCTCTCTTGTGCAGACATGAGTCATGTCTGCCAAAAGCCCTCTTCAGAAGGTTTTTCCAGGATTCTACGATGCACAGGGAGGTTCCATGAGTCTAAGATCTTTCCCACTTCAAACAATAACCCTTTAATTTGTGCCCCCTTTCCATGTTTAGTGTTTAGCACAACTTCAGGATAGCAAAGACCTGCAAGGTGTCAGATTATCAGCCATTCAGTATTTCTGTTGGTCCCATATGTTCATTTCCAAAACGCTTAGTTAAAAAGAACCATCCTATCTCAGTGATTGCTTTGTTTGTTTGCTGTTTGTTTCCTGTTGTTTTTGCATATATACACACTTGTGTGCCCTCAAAGACCGTTGCATGCACCTTTCTGTTTCCCTTTTTTAAATCTTGAGTCTAAACAGACTCCAGTGCATTAAGTGAATTCATGACTGCTGTGAGAGAACCTCATAAAGCGTTCTTTCTTTCATGCCATGAGCACCTTTAGGAAACTGATGTCTAATTGCCTTTTTCTAGAAGTCATAAGGCCTGCAAGTGCCAGGCATTTCTGAAAAATCAAACCCTAATTTGCTATTCAATCATTCCTACCAATCTTACCACTTGCCCAGGCAACTTCGAACACTTTCCTCCCTCATACATTTCATATTCTAGTTTATTTCTTTGAAGTTGAATTTCTTGGGCATTCCCCGACAGTGTTTCTAATCTCTCACAGTCTCTTTGAAGTATTTCTCTTCTGGCTAGGTTTTGCTCTTCCATCCAATTTAATATCTTTTTGCAATTTTCTTTATTAGGGCGAACCAGACATTCAGAAGCTCCAGCCCTACAATGAGGTGTGCAAGGTTATGAGGCTCTGTCAATAAACACGTTGATGCAACTAAAATATAGTCTTATAGACACCAAGTCTTAACGAAGACATAACATGTTGCTGTCACCAGCAATCTATCACAATTTTACGCCATCTTCTTTGATTCCCTGATTTTGCCATTTGTTTTAATGAGAAGTTAAGCTCAACAATCGTAATTATTTTTAGGAACATTAATTGCAGATATAGATAAAGTCTGAACAGTAATGAGGTAATCTACACTTGTTTGCTGATGGGTAGGAAAGCAATGAAAACTAATGGGCCACAAGGCTAATGGACACAAATCAAAGAAGCTGCTGTATATGCAGGAAGAGACCTGCACTCATGGAAAAAGTGCCCGATTATGGAAATTACCAAGAGTGATGCTCCCACATAGACATAAAGCAAAGCATTTGGGAAAATAGGAAATCATTATCAGTTACTCTACTAGCGAACTCAGATGGTTAAGACCCTTATCAGTTTGGAAGCAAAATGGGGTTTCTCAATACTTGAGGGGCTCTTAAGAAAAGTCATCGTAGATTTATACAGCAATTCTCTATATATGCATTTTAGTTCAATTATGATTATATTTATATTATATCTCACCCTTTTCCCCCTGACACAGTCTCAGGGTGCCTTATAGCTCAAACAGAGACAGCTAAAACATAGGAGGCAAAGCAATAATTAAAAAAAAATCAATTAAACATTAATATTATATATATATATATTCTATTGAAACATATAGAATATAGCTCATGACAATAAAAGCATCATAGCACCAGCCGTTAAAAACAAAACGGTTCCCAAAAGCCTTTTGGAACAGGAAGGTTTCTACCTGCTGGTAGAAAAACAACAAGGAGGAAGCCAGCCTAATTTCTCTAGGAAGGGTTTTCTCAAGACTGGAAGGAGCCACTGAGAAGGCCCAGTTGAATTCAATAGGCCTCACACCCAGGTAAATGGGTGCAGTGTTACTATTTAAGGGAGTAAGTTTCATTGAACCCAGTGACTACTTACTACTTACGCAGTAAGAGACAGACAGGATTACATTTTAAGGCTGCAATTTATTTTAAAAACAAACAAACAAACCCATTTATTCAAAAGTTACAATACAGTTACAATACAATATATTTTCAATCAATATATCCCCTCCACAGACACTTCTGTGATGATGGTGGCATTAAAATACCCTGTTCTTCCTCAATAAAAGAGAAAAACGGAGACCAGATCGTATCAAAAGTATCTTTTTTTGGAATTTACCTGAACTCAGCTGGAATTACTTTGAAGTAGGCATGAAAAGGACTGTGCTGTTAAGTTCTGTGTCATACAACCCAACATGGTGCCCTCCAACGGTTTCTGGATTGCAACTCTATCATTCTTGATCACCCGCCATGCAGGCTGGGACTGGTGGGAGTTCCAACAACAAGGGAGAGGGGTACCATGTTTGCTACCTCTGCCACACAAGGTAGGCCGAAATGAAAGACAAGAGAACCCCCCCCCAAAAAACACACAATTCTTCTTCCTGCTTCTTCCACAAATTGGTAGCTTTTTAGAACACTCTCTATATAAAGTGTTTCTTCTGCACACTGGGAAAAAATAGTAACAATCACCTCAAAAAGTAAATAAAATAATAACAGCCTCAAGAGGTTTGGGACATTTCCAGCATCAGGAATTTCACAATTAAATCCTCCTCTTATATATTTAAAGGGGTTAAAATATCTGCCTGCCTATTAGACGACAGAAAGAAGCCTTATTTTGTTGTCCTTATTTGCTCTCTTGACTACCATCTTCTACAGACATAACTCAGATGCCTTCAGGCAAGGATAATTCCACTTGACCCGCACAAAGCTCAGGGCTCTTTTTGCTCTACACCAGACAGTTGTTGCTGCCACCATGTTAGACAAACAGCACAAAATGCTTTTAATGCTCCTCTGTTGCGCAGGCGTCAACTGACAGGGAGCTGCAAAACAACAACATCAAAATGGGATTTCCTTACATTGCTGATATAACCGGAGTTGTCCCAGGCAAACTGGGACAGTTGGCAAGTAAGATAATGCTGATGTTAAAAAGGATGGTAAAATTGAATTGGTGGCAATAGCCTGGCATCAGTTGTGTGCATTGTGGTATGCCAGCAGCATGCCAGTCTCCCAGTCAGGCAGCAAAGCAAGTGGGTTTATGACACTGGGTAAGCTGCTGCATATATCTGGTGGACTATGGTGGGTTTGGTCTCTCAAACTAAATGCCAAAGAAAATAGAAGGATGCGTAGGAAACAAGGGTTTTACTTATCATTCACTTCTATGGGACAGGGCACCTAAGTGTTTTGCCAAAGTCAGTTGTTCATTTGGATTCAAAAGGAATGGGCACACTTATGAGTGAAGGCTATGGGTTTTATTGGTTACACCACAATCATTAGACATTAACATGCTCAATACACATACACAGAGCCTACTTAGATTAGACAAGGCAAACTACCAACACACAACTAGAGTAAAGTCCATCCCGGAGTGCTTCAATCTTATATTCCATCTGCTGCTGGAGAATGCTTGGACACAGTAGCAAATGATCCCCCTGGCAGCTGACAGACTCATAGAGCTCTCTCAGGATCTCCTGGACTATGCTAGAGACAGCTGGAGACAGCATCTCCAAAGCTCACATTTGTAGCCCATATCCTGCTGAGTCAGCTAACTGGGTCATTACTCATGCCCATGTGAGTCACATGCAGGGGCCCTAGGTCTTTGCCATAAGGATCAAAGGGATGACTCATCCGTGCCTCTCAAAGTCACAGCATGTGACATCATCCAGTTTGTGTCTAGGAGACACCTGTTAATCAGGGCTCATGAGCTTTCTGTTTTGTCTGCTATGCATTCCCATAATAAGTGAGTCTAACAACATATAATTAACACTTCCAAAGCTCAAGCTTACGCTATTATAATGACAACAGGCCAATGCTAAGGACCACTGAGGACATCAAAAAGGGCAATTGCCACACACCGTTCCTAATCTCCTCAAGGATGCAAAGGTCTTCCAGATCTCATAACCCATATGTCTCATAGTCCATTTCTTAAAGAGAGTGCTAGATATTGCAGCCATTTTGAGAATAACTCCTTCACCTGCTCAATGCTATAAAATGGTACCAGCACTGAACATGGTGGTGACAAAATTATGGCTGAAGTAGTCTCAAGGACAGGGAAGATAATGAAGGTATTACCTCTTAGGCCTATGTGAATTGTATCCATATGGGCTTCAATTAGTTGGGACTTAACTGGAAGTTGAGTGCAGAGCCTTATCCATCTCATTTGCTTCTCTACCCTTTTTTTTTGAGCATATTTGCTTAGACGTGGAGGCTTCTTCTTTCTATAGCTCTATGGTCATATAAAATGCCCATTGTTAATAAACATTTTTTCTTTTTACCTGTTTGTTTCTTTATGCTTTTCTCCCTTTTGTTTCTTTCCTTTGGGTTATTTGTTTGTTTAGGTAAAAGGATTTATTTGGCAGTGTCTCAGCCAGACAGGGCTTTTCTTTTTTCAGTACAATATTATATGACATAGCTCTAAGTTCAGAGGCACAGACATCTATGGTTTTGCCACATTTGTTTCACATCAGAGGGAATAATTCTTGTTTTGCATTTCGGGGTGACATTGCACTTGAAAGTGAAGAGGAATGATGAGGCAGCAAAGGAAAGAAAGTGCAAACAAGATACACTGTGGATACTGAAATACAGGAAACTTCACAGAGCCAGGGAGGTGGAGATCCCATAGACAAAGATCTTGTCCTAAAAAGGGGGGAAAGGAATACAGTAGTACAGTAGTACCTCAGGTTAAGTACTTAATTTGTTCTGGAGGTCCGTACTTAACCTGAAACTGTTCTTAACCTGAAGCACCACTTTAGCTAATGGGGCCTCCTGCTGCTGCTGTGCCACCAGAGCACGATTTCTGTTCTCATCCTGAAGCAAAGTTCTTAACCTGAAGCACTATTTCTGGGTTAGCGGAGTCTGTAACCTGAAGCGTATGTAACCTGAAGCGTATGTAACCCGAGGTACCACTGTAAAGCGAATTGTATTCCACATCCAGGCACTGACCCATTCAGGTTGTACTGACCCATGCAGGATTCCCTTTTGAAAGAAATCTCATCCTCCTCTTGGCATCACACCAATATTAAGAAGCAGGACATCCTTTTATAATAAGAATGTGATAACAGGCCATAGACAAGTTTGTTGTTGATGTTGCATTCAGGTATAGTAATAAGCTAATTATGCACACAAAGTTGGCTGAACTCGTAAAGAGAGCTTCATTTGCCATTCAGTGTTACAGAAAGGGATGTTTTAATCTTTCATAGCGTTCACATAAACGACATTACAGCATGCCAGTTTGACATACAGTAATGCATCTGTAATGAAAACGTTTTAGTGGTACCCTAAATATTGAAGCAGGGGGTTTGTTTAAATATCTCTTTGGTTGAAAACATTTCATACATGTGGCGGGGGACATGCTACAAGAAGAAGCTTCTAAGCTGTAACAATAATCAATACAAAAAAGCTTCAGGGAATCACCATATGGGCAACAGGTAGGACAACTAAATGTATTGTAGCACTAGGTTGTTGCCTCTAGCTTCTTGAATCTTTATTTCCTCTGTGAAAGTTGCTTCTAGTTTTCTGCCTCATTCTCAAGGCCCCTTCACTCAAAGGATTTCACTCAAAGGATTTTTGGAGTTTCCCTTCCATTGTGAGCTGGCCAAGGGTGTTGCGTATATGCTTTTGGTTTCCAGTACTCTCAAGCCTCCCTTGTTGCTTTAACTTCCTAATTTGAAGAAAAAGCCATGACTATTTAAAGTGGTATGGTACTGGTTTAAATGTACAGTGATACCTTGGGTTACATACGCTTCAGGTTAGAGACTCCGCTAACCCAGAAATAGTACCTCGGGTTTAGAACTTTGCTTCAGGATGAGAACAGAAATCGCACGGCGGCAGCACAGCTGCAGCGGGAGGCGCCATTAGCTAAAGTGGTGCTTCAGGTTAAGAACAGTTTCAGGTTAAGAACGGACCTCTGGAATGAATTAAGTACGTAACCAGAGGTACCACTGTATAGTGTAGATCGTGCCTTAGGGTTACCTTTGTGGAACTCAAGAGGGAGGAGAATGAAGACAAAACTTAGGGCCATACATCTGGATTTTCCCAGATATTACCGGAATTCACGTCTGCAGGGAATTTCTGAAAGGCGGCGCTTTGACCTGAATCTTAGGCAAGTCAGTTGAAAAATTGGGGGGGAGCTCAAGAACTTTTGGGGTTTCCTTAAAAAAAAGCTCAACAATTTTGGGGTACAGGCACTACTGGGATTGCTCAAGGCTGCTACATCCTCCCTATACTATTTAGGGTAAAATGGAGCCTGCAACATGCTTCCTTTATTGAACTCTAGTGTGAGAAACCTTAGGCCAGGCATCCCCAAACTCAGCCCTCCAGCTGTTTTGGGACTACAATTCCCATCATCCCTGACCGCTGGTCCTGTTAGCTAGGGATGATGGGAGTTGTAGTCCCAAAACAGCTGGAGGGCCGAGTTTGGGGATGCCTGCCTTAGGCCCTCCAGATGCATTTGAACTAAAACTCCCATCAGCTCCAGCAAGCATGGTCAGTGGACAGAGATGACTATCTGAAGGGCAAGAAGGTTCTCCACACCTGGGTTAACCAGGTCAGACGATCTTATACACAAATAGGAAGAAAATAGCAGTCCTTTGGCACTGTTTCGTAAGGGCAGGACAGATATTTCTGCAACTTTCACATTTAAATCTGAGATCTCTGCGCATGTCTCTGTTTGACACATTTTATTTCCCTTACCAATGTAATTCTCTTGCTCAGATCCTCCTTTGTCCCTAGACAGGTGAATACTGTGTAGGAGAATGCCAGGCTTGTGATTTATTCCCAAAGCTTTTAGCTTTAATAGCTGTGTGCTGTATGTTAAATTATTGTTTTTTGTGATGTACTGAACACGCATGCAGCTGTTGTGCACCGGAGATAAATGTGTGATTTAAGTGAGTGGGCAGCTCTTAGATAAAGGCTTGAGTGTTTTTTAAAAGGAGAAAATAAAATGAGACATGTGATATGTACATGAATGTTTTGTTCTGTCTTTAGCAATCTTTTGTTTTTTTCCTGGAAATATATTGGGGTGGGGAGGGGGATGATAAAGCTTTAATCCTTAATATACTTCCTGCAGAGAAAATCCCATTAAGCATACTGGAATTTACTTTTGTGTAAAGATTGCTCTGTAAGATAATGGCAGGTTGTTAGTCTAGTTTCTTTCACACTGTCTCCTTCAGAAAGCAACAAAAACTATTAGATTGTGGCTGGTTTATAGGGAGGCAACATTTGCGGAGAAAGCAATGAGGAAAGCTGATCTAGCTATAGTTTAGGCAGTGGCGAAGGAAGAGGAGTGTGGGGGGAGCACACAGCCCCTGGCAGCGTGATCCCGGTGGGGTGCCATCGCGGCTGCCCCCCCTGCACTGGGCACCACACCCCCGCAGGCGGCACACCCCGCCCCCGCCTGCTCTCTGCCCCCCCCCCCGTGCCGGAGCATGAAGCTCTGCCACTGAGTTTAGGATGGTAATTGTCTTATGTCTGAATGTAAGATAGCCAATTAGGATTGGCTAGGACATGGGCTTTATCTGGGGCAACCAACCAGAGAGCCTGTCAACTAGCCTTTCATTCAGGACTTCCAAAGTGAAGCCCTTCTTGTCCCAGTGGATGAGTAGAACAACTTTACTTAGTGGAAACTACAGTACCACATTGCTGCAAAGTTAATGGGAGAGAGTTCTGCACTGATATGCAGTTGTTGTTTTGCTACTGCCACCATTTTTGTGATCATAGCAGTGATGGGGAGTCATGCTCCCAGTAGCTTGGGTGGCTGGCAGGCACATTTTTTGTTTTTTGTTTTGTTTTGTTTATCCACCTTGGCTCCAGTGTGATAGCGGCAACACATTGCCCTAACTCTTATTGCTGCATTAGGATGCCATGGAGTGCTGTGCCACTGTATAAAATAAAATAAAAATGAACAGAGTAGCCAAGTTAGAGAAGGCATTTCAGCTCAGCAATACCCAACAGTTATTCAGACAATCAACTGAAATTGTTGCTCTGAAAACAACAACTATGCAACTGGTCACCAAAACCAGCCTCCTTCTTGGCAGATTGGAAGGAAGACAATAGATCACATAATTTTTTAAAAAATAAATCTAATCCTGCAGAAATATCCAGTCCTTCAGCGTCTGTTCTTCAATTTGAAGGTGGAGAAATAGTGAATAATAATAATAATATATTGTTTTATACCCTGCCCATCTGGCTGGGTTTCCCCAGCCACCCTGGGCAGCTTCCAACAGAATAATAAAAACACAATAAAACATCAAACATTAAAAACTCCCCTAAACAGGGCTGCCTTCAGATGTCTTCTAAAAGTCAGATAGTTGTTTATTTCCTCAACATCTGATGGGAGGGCATTCCACAGGGCGGGCGCCACTACTGAGATGGCCCTCTGCCTGGTCCCCTAGGGTGGTTGAGTGGGCAATGGGGTTGAAGGAGCCAAGGGCTAGGAAGAGAAAGAGAAAGAGAGTGGGGCTGAAGGGAGTAATCCTAGAGGAAGCAATGAAGAATGAGGAAACTTTAAAATTCTGTTTAATCTCATGGCTATCTGCAAATTCTTTATACCGTATTTTTCGCACCATAGGATGCACCGGACAATAGGACGCACCTTGTTTTAGAGGGGGGAGAACAAGAAAAAAAAATTCTCCCCCTCTCTGCCCAGTGCCCCTTCAGCGAAGCAGCAGGAGGCGCTGCGCAGAGAGGGGGAGAATTTCCCCCCTCTTGTTTTCCCCCTCTAAAACAAGGTGCCGTTTAAGGTGCGTTCAGTCGCCTTCAGGCGGCTACCTTGGAAGCCTGGAGAGCGAGAGGGTCGGTGCGCACCGACCCCTCTCGCTCTCCAGGCTTCAGGTTCCTTTCAACCTGCTCTTTGGGGCTGGCAGGGGGAAGCCCACCACCAGCCCCAAAGAGCAGGTCGGGGAGCAGCAGAAAGCCGCACAGCGGAGAGGCTGCTGCCATAGTCTCGCGTCACCTCTCCAGCTGGCAGAGGGTCGCGGGGCTATGGCTTCTTTAGCCCCGCACGCGCTCTCCCAGCTGAAGAGGTGGCGCCCTGCTAAAGAGGCTGCTGCAATAGCCGCGTGTCACCTCTCCAGCTGGGATAGGGTAAGCGGGGCTTCTTAGCCCCGCGCGTGCTCTCCCGGCTGGAGAGGTGGCGCGCGGCTAAAGAGGCTCCTGCCATAGCCGCGTGTCACCTCTCTAGCCGGGAGAGCACGCGCGGGGCTATGGCGTCTTCGCTCCATAGGACGCACACACATTTCCCCTTCATTTTTGAAGGGGAAAAAGTGCGTCCTATAGAGCGAAAAATACGGTAGTTGTTTAAGTTGTAACTGATGTGAGGTGATTTTGTTTTATTGTTTGCCAATAGATACACCGACCCATTGTGCCAGCTGACAATTAAGTCTGGCTAGCTTCCTGATGAGGTGATTGCCTATATGATTAGCCATAAAAAACCAAAACAAAGGGAAGGGGCTTTGTGTGAGATGGCAAATGGGTATGGGTGGAGGTGGGCCCCCTCCCCCTGTTCGCAGATACTGAGAAGGAAAAAATCCAGAGTTTAGAGTTGAGTTTGGGCTGTGATATGACCTAGAAGTAAAGCAGAAAGCTGGAAGGCCAAAGAGGCGAAGCCCAATGTTTGATTTCTGTTTGAATGCAAGGCATTCAGGAGAAACGAGACCCTTTTGGAGTGTTAATGCTGTGATCCCCTCCATCGTAGGCTCAGGTTGTATATTTGCAGTTTTTTTTCTGGGGGGATGCAGGGGTACACATACCCCTAAACATTTTGTGAATCTAAGTTTGGCCTCATTGAGGGGCAGTATTTCAATATGAGCAGGAAAATGAGCATACCCCTAAACATTTTTTTTAAGGAAAAAAGCACTTTATATATGTGTAAATAAACCATATATCCTAAAGACACCACAGTCTCTGCTGTGCCTTATTTCCAAAAGGAAACACCAACCCTGTATAAGTGCCTGCAACCTCTGGAATCTTTCTTTGCTCAGAGACTGGGGTGACATATTTTTCTGTTGTTAAAATGGATCCTTGCTATTAACTACAGATTATGCCAGCATTTCCCAAACTTGGCATAGTTCGTTTTCCTCCCGGAACTAAAAATGGGGTCATGATCCTCTTTTGCTTCCTGCTGGCCCAGAACAATAGCCAGGCATTCTACAGAAAGAAGTAGTTATAGTAGCCCTCTTCTGGCAGTCAGAATGTAATCACATACCTTTAAAAAGATGTGTGAGAGGGAGAGGGTTCATGAGCATCCATTCCCAGCCTCCTTGTCCTTGGCTGTTGCAGCAGAAAAGCTTCCTATAGTCAGTGAAACCTTTGCATGTTCTGGAACTCCACCGGCAGTCACTTGTGTGGAGGGTGAAGGGATGGAAATGATAGGTCAAGGTAGTGTGGTTCTGCACACTCTCCTTGTGGCTTTTAGGTAGGCCACATTCTCATTGCCTGAATAGAGCACTGGCCTTCTGGTGCTCTGCTCTTTTGCTTGCCAAGGTGAGTCAGGGAATGGGTAGCACTTTGTGGGCAACGATGATGCTCCTGAGGTTGCCATGCTCATCAGCCATAGGATAGGCTTCTTCAGGAAATCTCGGTCCATGCTTGCTCCTTCTCATGGGACAATCTCGGTGCCCATCTTTTGGCAGAGAGCATCAGCTCTGCATGAAGATTTCCTGTTTCAATGGTTTAATTGAATATGGTGCCTTCATTTAAAAAAAAAAAAAATGCATGCAGTTCACCTACTTGAGGCATATAAATTTCCCTGAGTGTACAGTTTTAAGACTCCCCAGCTCATCCAAGTGATGTCAGTTGCAAGCAGTCAGAAGCATAGCTCAAGATCCCCCCAGTTTGAGCACAAGTGATGCTTTTCTTAGACCTGGATAATATCACAGACGAAATGGACAATAGTAGTCTCTTGTTTTCATTTTTTCAGCTATCTGTAGGGGGCAGCAGAAGCTAAACTAAACAAAGAGGCAAGTTGTCCAATGTGGGGGAATGGAATCACCGAACTGTGTATCTTCCCTGCATGTAGGTAGATTGTGATGGGCCTGGATTGCTGCAAAATTAACATTTCCTAATTAAAATTCTCCATATTAGCAAACTCAGGTTCCATGTATTCCTTTTTTTATCTAATCTCTTCTTTTATATACAAAGCTACTGAAGCTGAACAAAACCAGTGAGATAAAAATTAACACACAAATTGTTTTTCCTCCCTTTGGGCAGGAAAAATCCTGTTTACAAGGAAAATGCAATTATGTATAAATATTTATGAAAATAAAAGGGGGAAAAAGTCAGACACCAGTGATTGTGGGGGGTGTTTTTGTTTAGGGTAGAAAAATAATCATGAAACAAGGCAACATACATGATATAATTATTGAGATTTCTACTGAGTCCTGATGGGGAGCCTATTTTCTACACTT